CCCCAAAACCCCAAAACCCCAAAACCCCTTGATCTGAGTGGATAATTGGCTAGTTTAGAAATAGATAAAATTATCCAATTATTAATAAATCTAAGATCTTTAGCAAAGATGGAACCTAGATCTAAGGCAGGGAAACTTGCACTAATAGAGCAGCAAGAGAAGTAAGAACGAGTGCACAAGTGTTATAGGGAAGAAGAACATAGCAAGATTTATCGTGAACAACAAAACAGAATGGGCCTCATGCTTAACAAGTTGAAGGGACACCAGAAAGCTTTTGACATGAAGCTCAAGGGGTTCGAAACTAGTCTTGACAAAAGCTTCAAAGTGATCTCTAAAGGTAATAGACCGGTCGTTAAGTATTTTGGATATTATTTACTGCATTTTGAGTAGATTTAAAAGTGCTATAGATAAAGATAGCAGTGAACCAGAAGGACATAAATACAATGTCTTTCAAATCTTTGAGGAATGGAATAAAATCCACTTCAAATATGAGGAGTATTGGAAATTTGCTGGGGTTACAAGGCAGGGTGATCTCAACCCAAAGATTCTTCAGAAAATGTAATGTTTTATGTATGATCTCTCTTAGCCTAAAAGATTCAGAGGAAATTAGACAAATTCCCAAAGAGGAAAGAGAGGACACTATTTTAGAAGCTGCCATGATTGAATTTTATTTTGAAACAAGGTTTTATGAAGTATTTAGTGAGTTCTAACTTTTAGTTTTATGGCGATCTCTACAAACCCTGGAATGTTAGGATTCACCGTAAGAGCCTGTATTTGAAGTTTAGCTAATGTATTCAAGAAAATCTCAGACAGGGCTCTAGATTTCCCAAAGATGTTCCAAGAAAAATTAATCTTCTTTGTGGTCAACCATATGCTTTGGGGAGATTTCTCAATGAAGATGGAATTTTATGAGCATTTTGGATACACAACATTCTTTGTTCCAATGGACTCAAAACATTATTTATTTGCTAGCATAAACCTTGAGAGGATCCCAGAAATAGACAGTAAAGGAGAGGTACGTTATCAGATAATTCCAAGAAAATCTATTGGTCGAATTTAGCCTTTCATCATCCTGATATGAATAATTAAATTTTTTTATTCACCCAAATTTAATTTCAAATAGTAGAAAATAAGTATTCCAAATATTGGGTAATTTAAGAGTGTTAAATAATTTTCCAACTGAATTCATTAACTTTACCTCTTTGGCTCGTGTGACAAGAATTTCTTTAGGAAGTAATAGGGCATCGATTCCAACAAAGTATTAAAATTTTAAACGTGTTTCCTTCTTACAGAGTCCATTTGATAAAAGATGGTCCAAAGGAGAGAGCCAAATCAGATTATCTGATCAAGAACTATCCTGACAAATCCGATATTTTTGATGGTGAACTATCTCGTAAGATATTCAAAATATCTTCATACTCTATTGTATCAAGGTAGGCTTGCTTAGTCATGTTTTAGAGCTTACAGAGTGCACTTTGGGACTTATGGGGCCAATAATTTAGAGGATGAAAAATCAAACGAAGGATGACCTACCACTATATATTTGCCTTTGACCCTCAAGTTCAATAACAAATTAGTATCTTCAGCTTACTCTCAGTTTAAATTTGACGGGGAACAATGGATCCTCAAAAATGAAGGAGATCTGTACACTGCTGGGGTCAGAATGGATGAAGAAGCCCAAAAGTCTATTTCAGATGGGGCTAACAAAAACATGATCATCAAATTTTTTGAGAATATGGAAAAATATGGGCTTAAGTTCTCGAACAGTCAGAAGAAGATGCTGGTTTCCTCAAAGAATACCCTCGTAATTGGAAGGTCAGGTACAGGCAAGACTACTGTATCTGCATTCAAAATGGTGGCTATTGACTTGATCTTCAAAGCATACTCAAAGTCGAAGCTCACTGGAATTTCCAAGCCAAAACTTGAGTCTAAAGACTTTGATATCTACAAAACCTGTGGAATTGTATTCTGCACAGCCTCTCCTGTCCTAACAGTAGAGGTGAGAAGGTTCTATCATGAATTGAACAGCAAAATTAAAGAATTTATTTTGAAAAGAGAGCAGAAAAGAGCTTCCAAGAAAGAAGACACTAAGCAAGAATCATCTGACGAAGAAGCTGAAGCTGTATTTATTATTGTATAATCATATAGGAAATTATCCCTACCGAAGAAGAGAAAGATGCTGAGATCATACAAGAAAGTATTAAGATTGCATTGGAAAGTACAAAGCAAGATCTTGAAGATGAGCTTGAAGAGGAAGATATACAAAAGAATATTCCTTCCTCTATTTATGGGCTCAAAGCTGAACATTTCCCATGATTTTTGACAGTCAAAAAGTTGATTTATATGCTTGATTCATCTCTAAGTTGTCCTTTCTTCTCTAGAGGTACTGATGGAAGCATCTATGGAATGGAATCTAGCACAGAATGGCATAATGAGAATAAGCAAGGAACTTTCATGATCAACCAATACCACAAAAATACTTATGATTTTACTAGGAAGATCAAAAAGCTAGGCAAAAAGGTGCTTGAAACAGAGGAAATGGATGACGAAGAAAAGGCTTCAAAGCTCAAGAAACAGAAAGCTGATGGAGACCAAGAAGAATTTGACGAAGAAGAAACTGATTCAGATGATGATCAGACATATGACAATTCTACCGTGGAAGCTAACTTCAACTATCTCAATAATTTCAAGCAAAACTTTACTGCAAGTGCCAAGATTGAGAGTCAGACTTTTTCAACAGAGGTAGATTTTGAGCTCTTTGAAGATAAGTTCTGGCAAAAATACAAAGGAAAATTAAAATTCTCTGCTATGAATATCTGGACAGAAATATTCTCTGTCATTAAGGGAGGTCTCCAGACTGACTGGGCAAATTATGTAAGATATGGGAGTACATCAATAATATCTCTCAAGAATTACATGAAATTAGACTCATCAATTCCATCTGCTTCAGTAAATGAAAGAAAACTCATCTACCGGCTCTTTATAAACTACGAATACTGGAAAACAAGAATGAATTACTACGACTTTATGGATGTAGTAAAGCATGTCTATCTCTACTTTCCTATATATTGGAAGTCAAAAATCGACTATTTAATCATAGACGAAGTGCAGGATCTCACTCCTTTGACAATCCAACTTCTAACTACAATTACCAGAAACAATGTGTTCTTCTGTGGAGATACAGCTCAGACTATTGCCAAAGGAGTTGGCTTCAGGTTCTATGATATGAAGAGTATCTTTGACAACACCAAGATTGATATCCCCAATGTAATTCAGCTGACAAGAAACTACAGATCACATGGCAAAATCCTTGACTGTGCCAACACGATAGTTGATGTCATTGAATACTATTTCCCTACTACCATCGATAAGCTACAAAGAGAGTCCAGTGATATTGATGGGCCTAAGCCAATACTTTTGGAAGGATTCAAACAGGAAGACCTCATGGCAATGATCATTGGACATTCTGAGACTAGAAATCCAACATTTGGGTGTAACCAAGTTGTAATAGTAAGAAACCAAGAGGCTAAAGCAACTCTTCCCCTTTTCTTAAAGCAAGCTCTATGTCTGACTGTTTATGAAGCAAAAGGATTGGAATTTGACGATGTTATTTTGTACAATTTCTTCTGTGATTCTCATGCTTCAGGGGAATACAGAATTCTTGAAGAGCTTGAAGTCCACACTGGAGAGAGAAAGAAACTACAAATAGAAGAAGAACTAACTCTTAATGAACTTGATGTTGCCAATTTTAATAACCTGGCAAAGCAGAAGCGTATAGCACTTGACGATGATGTTGAAACTGAGACTTATACTTACTTCGAGACAGAGATCCCTAAATACCAAATTGATAGGAAGTTCAAATTGCTCTGCAACGACCTCAAGCATTTGTATGTTTCCATCACCAGGCCAAAGCAAAGGCTTTTGATTTATGATGAAGACTGCAGTTCAAGAAAATTCATTAAGAACTACTGGGTAACCAGAGACGTAGTTGAAGTAGTCCATAAAGGTGAAGAGAAGAACCATGCAATCCTCAAAGATGGCTTTGAGACTATGGAAAATGAAGCAAGCTCACAAGAAGAATGGAGATATATGGGATTCAGACTTTTCAGAAAGAAGTTCTATCACTCAGCAATTACTTGCTTTGAAAAATCAGGTGATGAATCCTTTGTTCATAGATGCTACGCTTATATGTATGCTGATAACGCTACCTCTATAAATAACCAGGCTGAGGTTAATCTTTACACTGCTAAGAACAATAAGAATTTATCTAAAGCTGAAAGAAGTGCCAAAAGAACTGAAGCTAAGAAGCTCAAGGAAGAAGCAAATTCTGAATATATCAAGGCTGCAGAGATGTTAGTAAAAATAAAGTGATACAAACAAGCTGCCCAATGCTTCTACACTTCAAAGGAATATAAAAAGGCATCTGAGTTATTCCTTAAAGTGGACATGAAATCTCAAGCTGCTGAATGTTTGATGATTCTCAAAGATTTCAAGACTCCAGCTAAAATATTCGAAGAATGTAACCTCATCCTCAAGGCTCTTGATTGCTACGAATGTATCAATGATTGGGAGGGACTACTTCTCTGACTTAAAAGGAACAAGAGCAAGTTCAAGGAATCTGAAAGAGATGCATTGATAAATAAATATGTCCCAATCGCATTGAATTCCATCTTCAGAACAATGTCTAGTGAAGATCAAATAGATAAAAACAAAGGCAAAGAACTCCAAGAAAAATATATCGGCAAAGTTGGAACCCCTATACAGGAAGAAAGCGATTATGCCTCTGAAGAAGAGCAAAGTGAAGAAGAAGTCGAAGAACAGAAAGAAGACCCTCCCCAAGAAGAAACTAAGAGCGAAATCAAAAATGAGCCTCTCCAAGAAGAAGCTCCTGAAGAAGAGGTTAAGGTTGAAGATGATGAAGAGGAAGTGATTGATACTATCACTAAAAATATGATCGATGAGTCCTCCTTCTCCGTGATATCAAAAGCTGAACTACAAGATAACTTTGAACATCTGTCAAACTTCGATCCAGAGGATGAGTTCCTTTCTAATGATAAATCATTCACCATTGTTGGGTCAGTTGTCACTAATGATGAAGACACTCTTTCTGAATATAGCGATTTTAGTATCCTCACTAATTCCAGAGTCAATAGCTTCACAAAGGGAAATAAAATTGAGACTAACAGAGATATCTATGTAGAGGATATTATTATGCAGAAAATTATTTACTATGTCAGTCTCTTCAGTGACGAAGCTAAAGAATATATGCTGAAACTGAGGTCAAACAGCCAGCTATTCCAAAATGAATCAGAAGATATGAAACTAGACGAATTTGAACTAGAGCTTGATAATATTGATACAGAGCTAGTCAAAATCCTTCTCGATGTACTTGAAAACTTTGATATGTTCAGACTCTGTATGATTGTCTGCAATAGATACCATGTCACAGAACATTTGACCAGATATCTCACCTCTGTTTGCTACAAATATTCAAACCTAAAACTGATTGATTATAAAGGGATATTGAATGTTAACAATCCAGACTTCAGAAAGAGACAGCAGCAAGTATCAATTCTTGCAAATGAAGCTTTCCACAATATGCTATCCTTAGTTTCTCCTAACTTGATTGAGCAAGTCAAGACGGAAGATGTTCCTCAAGAGGTTGTCCATGAAAAGCAAAGATGCTGGAGAATGCTCTTCTTCCTTGGATTCTGGAAGAAACTTATTTACATCCTAGACTCGATGGCTTCCTTACAGTTGTGTTATTCAATCAAGCAATTCAGAGACTTCAAGATTATTTATCTCCTCTACTATAGAGAGCAACTATCTGATGAAGTTGTTAGAGAACTCATAGAGGATAAAACTGGCAAGTGGATCGACCCAGAACTCGAAAAAGAAAGCCCACTTGGAGTCCTTTGTTATAAAATTAAGCTTGAAGAAATCGTTGAAGATTTACTCACCCCAGACGAGGAGGCTGATTTTAGTCTTAACATCAAACTTAATTCATGGATGAGATTGTTAGAAAAAGTTGATCTCATAAATTTGAATAAACTCGACAACCAAGAAGTGATACTCTCTCTTTTAGATGAATTATTAGCACTTGGGCACAACAAATTATTCAAAGTAACCTACTCCAGAGCTTCCTGAAGCAAATTAGAGCTTTTTGACATCTTTTTGTTCTACAGCAGATTGCTGTTAGACAACGCAGTAAATTATAAAATCAAAAAGGTATTACAAAACTCAGATGATCATGATTTCTCATATGGAACCAGTTTTAAAATGTAAGTCGTTGCTCTTCTTTCGGTTGGTGGATAGACCTATAATTGTGACAGATAAGTTTTATTTATTCTGACTTAGAGATATATTCTAATCAAACTTTATAGAATTTCAAACCTTCTCATTGATCTAAATGTCGTCTGTTCTTTCTTATCGATTCCTTCTCTACATTCGAAGACATTCAGTGGGGAAGACCTACACTTAGCTCAACAGGCCCTTCTGCTAGGTGGAAAGGTGAGAATCTCAGAAAAGTCAAGCTTGTTCTTAAACATTCTTCCATTCTGTCTCCTCCACAGGAGCTCATTCTTTGCTAAGAAGCACTTGGAAGTGTACCTTTTCCAACTTGACAGTGACAGATACAACAGAGAGATCCTGTATAGCTACGAGAAGGAATCTAAAGTACAAATTTCAAATCAACTTCTCTCCCAAGCTGTGGCATCTCATGTAGCAAATTATGATAAGTCCAAAGCTGGAGGAGACTATGATTATAAATCATGCTCCATTGCTGATCTTGAGGCTGAATACATCAGGCTTCCAACCTCAGAATGAGTAAACTGGGTTAAAAAGATAGTATCTTCATTTGTCCATTCAATCACTTCTGCAAAATACAACAGTATTGCTGTTTCTTGGATGAACCATGATTCTATTCATACACGTGCTAATCTGAGCGATGTCATCTATGAGAGATATTTACTCCTAAAGAAACTTGGAGCAGGAATCAGTTTAACCTCTGATCCAACTCAGATGTTTTACCATAAAGATCTCACAGATTTAGAAGAGCAATCCAAGAATTTTCAGCTTGCTAAAAAGATTTATTTTATCAGAATTAATTGACAAATCAACGCGAAAAATGCTCAAGTCTTGAATTCTCTACAAAATAACACTTTCTTAACTGAAAATAGCAGAAAAAGGAACTTACAATTACTACAAAATAGTTTCATATATAGTCAAAGCTCTGAGAAAGTTATGTTTGGCAGGATAGATTTCAATCCTTCTGAGTTCAATTATATTTTGGATACCTCATCTAAGCATTTGAATGAATCACTCTTTCAAATCCTTGAGGGAGGAGAAGATAGTTGGTACGTCCTACACAACAGTATACGTGACCTTGCTACTATTGGAAAGACTGAAATTGCTGAAGAAATTATTCTCCAGAGGTGTCAAAATTCAAGTCACGATTTCTCTAAAGTCAAGGACTCGCATTTGGAGTTAATCAGAGCTATAGAACAATATGACTATGGACTTTGGGCAGGTTCTTCACAGTCATTGTATAAATATGCTCTTGCTTATAGCAATAATATTGAAACTTATAAGCCAGAAGAATTGTTTGTGACCATCCAGAGATCGTTCTACCTGCTAATTACTACATTCTGAAAGGAGCTTTACATCCCTGTAAATGCAGTTAACTATATCTCATGAGATGTTGAATATCCTGATCAAGAATCAGACCCCTATTACCAGATTATGTACTTGGCATTGGATATCAACACCCAAGATATAACAGAAGCCCAATTCACCCAAAATCTGACTCAGATCCTAAAACTCATCAACAAGTACTACGATCTGCTTGCTGAATCCTTTTCTCCCTTCCTCAAGACCTCAATTCTCTGCATTTTCAGTAACTTTCGAGTAACCTTTAGATATGATTGCCACTATTGCTGCCAATCTCAACTCCATCAATCCAGCTGTGAGCACCCAAATTGAGATATTTTATGAGAAGTTGCAGGAAACTGACTACATCGACACAGATAATTTTGATAAGTTCGCAGAGTACTATGGAACCAGAGATGCACTAGTCCATTTTAGAGCAGAGTTCCTCCCACTAGATGATCACGAAAAGAACGAAGCCTTGTATTATCACCCAGAATATGAGCATAATAATCAATACTTGGTCTATTTGACCCTTAAGCAGAAAGATCAAGACTCTCAACAAGTTATTCTTAAGGAGTATCAAAAGTACCAGGATGAGAAGATAGTCAAGATTATGGCTCATAAGAGAATCGCCAAGAGGATTCAAAGAATAGCTGCCAACTTTATACCTGCCAGGAAGAATTTCAATGAGTTCAAGTCATACTTTAATTTGACTCCTTCAATGGTAAACTGGAGTCTGAATTCTAAAAATGTTAAGACTCTGTTTAAGATTCTTACAAATAAGGGTGCTCACCTGAGGGAAATCTTGAAGACAACAGAGACAACTATGAACTTGCTCTACAATATATTCAACAGGTAAGGATATGAGAATAATTATTTAGTAACTATGCAATCAATAATTCCTTTGACACCCACTTCGTCAGTGGTCATCTGACAAGCATTAATGATCTTTTGGAGTCAACTCTAGAGCAAATTGACTCAAGAATTTCTGAGTCTGAGGAATCCAAAAACGATGAATCATTCAACCCATTTGTAGAAGTATCTGCAACCAATGAGAAAACTGGATTGGTAGATCTTGGAACAGAAGAGTTAGTAGACTCTCTCAATGAAATCAGTAAGGATGTATATTAACTTATAGTGGCTCCTCTTTCAGAGCTCACTCAGTCTGTCTATTCAGACCTTCAGGACTGGTTGACCAAGAAGCATTCAAGACCTGTCTTTATCCTCAATCTTGAAGCCCAGCAACAAAATCTTAAGCAGAAGCTTAAGTGGGAGCAGAAGTATAACTCCAGAGAGAAATTGCACAAATTGAAGAAAATTCTGAAACAAGCCAGACATAGAAGATAAACATTATGCAACAATATTTAGATGAGAGCCATCTATCTTGGGGTTTTGGGGTTTTGGGGTTTTGGGGTTTTGGGGTTTTGGGGTTTTGGGG